CGACCAGGCACTCCAGGTCGTCCATTCTGCCAGCCCGAGGGAGGACGGCTCATCGAATTTCGAGTCCGGTACGCAGTCGCCAGCCAGAGTCACCTCGCAACGGCGAACGTCGTGTGCGTTGCCGGAGCACATGCGACCGCCGAAAGCAGGCGCGGGTTCGGAGCAATCTCGCTCTCGAGACTGTACGCCGATACCGCAGGTCCGGGAACACGGTGACCAAGAGCCCCAATTCGACCATTGACCGTGTACTATGAATAAAGGCATTGGCAGAACCAGACGGGCAAAATGTAAACTTTACGTTAGCATTATCTTGCTGCCTTATCAACACCTCAAGTTTCAATTTAGGCACTAGTAGTCGTTTTAACCTACTTATTCGGAATAAAGTAGTACAGTCGATTGTAGTGGTAAATACAAGTTCACATTAGTGACATAAAATAGGAATTAGAAAAGGCCTGGTTTGCACACGCGAACCAATTTTGAATACGACTTCAAGAATAACTTGCGCTCAAATGATAGGCTCAAAAAGAGACGGAATGTTGGATTACTGATAAAAAGAATATAAAATGTATTCATCCTACTTCGTGAAGGTGACAAAGGAATGGTAGTTGAACTTTCCCTCAATCATATGGATAGTATGTACATTTTCCCTGAATTTCACATAGTTCCGCTTCACAAAGGGTATTTGCATCCCGGCTGCGGTGGACAGCAGTTTAGACCCTGCCTGGTTCTTATCAGCATCCTAGTGGGCGGTTGTCGGGTTTGTCGTCTTGACAGCTTTAAAAAAGGTGGGCGAACTACTGAAGAGGTGGAGCATTAACAAACTCCGAAACAAAAGTTAACATTCTCCTCATATGGAGAGAGGATGTAGACGGGTCATCTAAATAGAGGGTCCGAAAACTTCCGAAAGATAACATCAACGAGGAAAGTTTTAATTGTTCATACATTTTGTTCTGCTATCCCAGCTACAAACCTTTTCGAAATCTTATAGAACGGTAACGGCAGTGATATAGTCGTCCGTATTACTCCAAATAGAAGCTTCCCTAAAATATTTCTTAATTTGTGTCACTCAAAATTTTTACAGATATCAGTACTCCTACCGTAATCTTATAAGTAGCGTCTGAAAATAAATCTCAGTGATACCCTCTTTTGTGGTTTGCTATTTGCATTTCTAGTCACTTTAGTTCTCGTCTTAGTTACGAGGACATTCAGAAAAGGTAGATTGCCGTCCTTTTTTAATTTCATAGTGAATTTAGATGTATCCCCTATTTTTTTATTAGCCTTAGAAAATTATCTTGGCTATCTTTATGTTCGGGTTGTAGAGTAATTACTAAAGGGGTCGCTGGTTGGGGACCGAGTGATGAGCAAGGCCAGTAAGTATTCCCTTGAGACAAATAAATCCCTTTTAACCAATCAGTCCTCGGAACTGGAAAGCCGAGTCCGACTAACTCCTTAAGGGATTTTTTGAAACCCGGCTTTGCCTTATTCATAGAATGTTTACCATTAAATTTGCCTAAATTCGCGCCACATTCAGGGACGGGAATTGATCAAATAAAGAGTTTCTTCAGACCTCTACATAAACTTATCCTTATCACTGTTCTTGACAGAGCAGCCCCCTCATCTTGACGAAACAGGGTGAATAAATCTCATACAAATGATTTATTGATAGCCTCAAAAACCTGGTTTTAAACGGAAAAATAGTGTGAAACAACTCATTGACCAAATAATGATACTAGCCATTTTTATATTCGTCCTCACGAACTTAATCAGACTTACGTTCCGAAGGAGGCATGCCTTGGATCAGTAAACTTGGCTGACTCTAGACAAATGTTACTCTCTTTTGTAATCACTTCGAATAAGTACCATTAGGTTCGTACACACAAATAAGTAATTATAAAGAGGAACTGAAACATCATTATATACACCCTTATATATATATATATATATATACGCCCATAAATTTTCAATTATTCTGTTGTTGTCGTTTTGAAGCATTAGCATATATGAAGACGAGCCAGATAGACTGTTTGATGCAAAGATGACTTGAAGTTACGAATAGTAACTAAGTTTCGATGAATATCATAAGATAAAATTCTTAGAGAGATTTTTATTCCGTATTAAAGTAAATGATGAAGAGATTCTCAGTTTCGGACAGAGTTTTGCTTGGATCATGACTCGAGACTTACGTTATGCTTTTTTGATCATTCTGC